AACTAAGAGCAAACTGTGAGCCAGAACACCTCATTCCCAGATTTTCGAATACCCTAACCATCGAGATGGCCTTCCTCTGAGTGTTTTAGTTAATTTTTGCTTCATTTCAGATGACGGGACGTCGGCAGCAGCACTGCGTTCCTCCAGTCGCTTGAAGTCGATGCCTCGAAGCTGTAAAAAAGATTTGGTCTAGAACTTACGTGAATTTTTATCACCGGGTCCTTTCTCAGTGTTCTCTTTGGAAAAAAAAAAATTTTGAAGTTTAGCCTCAGCTGTTTTGTTGGCCTTTTGTAAAATCAGTTGATAAAATCTTTAGCGGCGATTTCTTGAATTGATAAAAGCATTCGCGTCGAATCTTTCTCGCAGAATTTGACTTCGGCCGCAGTACGTTAAGGAATCCGCGCACTGTTTCAAACTGCACTGTCCAAGAGAACATTGATGAGCTTTGTTTTGTCGATCTCAACCTCTTCCGAGTTCAACGGTTCTCTGTTATATTGTTTGTATTGTTTCCTGTATATAGTGCTTGTCGTGTGCGCAGCCGTTGGTTGCTGGCTTTGGTAGATGGAGCATAACGGGCGATGGCTGCAGTCTCTGAGGGCTTTCCGGATGTAATTTTCATTTGAACTGTATTTTTTATTGCGATCCTTTGCCAGTGTTTGCTGTTGTCTGAGCTCAAGTATTTGATTTCTCAAATATGTTTTGCTGATTTTGTGTTGTGACTAAATGCTATCTGGCCTGTTGCGATAACTGTTTTAAAATATTACTTGACTTTAATTTAATGAATTGTACTTGTGTGTGTATGTGTGTCTGTCAGTCCAGTGTGTGTGTGTGTGTGTGTTCCGGATTTTTTCGATGGTAATTTTCTGCGGTTCTGATGCAGCAGAATTATTGCAGATATGCTGGCTGAATTCTGTCTCGCCTCATAAGGTAACAGCAATGGCACTGATTGCGGATTGGTAGTGAAAAGTGTTTCTCGTAACAGAGCCGGAAAGGTTCATTTTCACGGTTGAAGCTTCATAATGTGAAGGTGGCAGGGGAACATCAAGTGACGAAAGTGCGGCGCATAATTATTGCGCACACGAATAAAATGAATTCAGGACTGTGCTGCTGTCCGAACTGTTTAAGATTTTTCCCTGAAAGTGTTTGTAAGCACCGTGTCTCCGTTCCTCCCCTCTCCCACAAAACAGAAGTCTTCGTATGGCATTACTTCTCTCCGTCATTTTGTCGCCCAGATATGCTCACTTCAGATCCTTCTCCATTTTCTAATCTTCATGTTCTAAGTGTATTACGTTTAAGCTGCTGTTTCTTCGCTTACGTTTCCATTGCCACATCCGTTGTTCACAACTGTTTGTTTGTTTGTTTGTTTTCAGTTGATTTGCCTATGGCACAATCTTAACCTACTTATGTACAGTGCAAATTAATTTCGTTTGTAGAGAAAAATAAGGAGCTGGGTCTGGCGCTATGCCAGCCACCAGCTTCTCTTAACTAAGCGCCTCCTGCAAACTGCGTTATACACATTCAGGAATGTCACAGCTGTAATCCCATCGGCTAGTCTCCTCTGATTAGAGCTTATATATTTATACTTGAGGGCAGTTGGATCGGGGTAATTCATGGCCTGGTTCACTACTTATGCAACTGGGGACTTCACGGGTTGCTTTTTTCATTGCCCTACTGTTCAGTACATGCCGTGTTGCGTGTTCCGGCCGTTTCGCTTCCTACAGAGATTACTGGTGCAGTGGTTTCTCCGACAGAATTATTCCGGCGCTGAGTATTAAAAAGCTCCTCTCGCACAATATCACTTCTAGACCCGATGAGATACTTTGCCGACTGTGCATCGAAATTAGGGTAAATGATACATCAATGATCACCGCTAGATATATTGGAGAGAAATTGGAAAACTGACGGAAATGTCCAACTGCAGGCAGTCTGTACTGTTCGAGCTGCAAAAAAAAATTAGTGGAAGCTACATATCTTC